TTTTTAGAAAGATGGGGTTTTGCCATGTTAGCCAGACTCGTTTCGAACTCCTGACCTCAAATGATCTGCCCACCTCGGCCTCCCAAAGTGCTGGGATTACAGGCGTGAGCCACCACGCCCAGCTGGTCCTTGCTTTCAAAAACAAAAAGTCACCCGGATTAAAAAACCAAGATTAGGCTGGGTGCCGTGGCCTGTTATCCCAGCACTTTGGGCAGGGGTAGGCAGAAAGATCACTAGAGGCCTCCTAGGAGTTCAAGGTCACAGTGAGCTATGATTGTGAGACTGAATTCTAGTACAACCCTGTCTAACAAACAAACAAACAAAATTGAGATGGTGGGTGTGATCAGAGTTACTGGGGTTACATTGCTTTCAGGTCCTTTCAGTACACAGAACTAGATAATACATTTTAAGAAATCACAAGCCCATATTGATATTTTCAATTCCAGTTTAATGTTGTAGGAGATTTTTTTCAACCTATTTTATTTTACATTTGTATTTCTTTCCACGTACATTTAAAACTTTTAATAAAATATGAATACATTTACTTATTTTCTTTATCCTACAATATATAATTTCAAAATTACACTAACAATATTACAACAAACATTAACCATAATGAGTGAAGTTTAAGATCATTTTGTAGATCTTTTGTCTGCAGAGTATAACCTACTAGGGGTGTACAGTCAGAGTAACTTAAAATATTTATCCAAAGTATTGAAACATAACTTGAAATAATTATTTTCTCTTAGTGGTTATGCAATTCACTTGATAGATTTGTTTGTTTCTGTTTGTGTTCAATTTTCTGTTTTACTTTTATTCTTTTATTTATTTTTTGAATGTGTAAAGCATTTACATGATTCAGAAGTCAAATTATATAATAAATTAATCTCAGAGATTTTGTCCCTGTCCCCTTTCTGTCCTATCATGTTTCCATCCCCTCTGTGGGTAACTATTTCTTCCCCCGCTTCTCCCCCTCCCCCTCCTCCTCCTTCTCCTTCTCCTTCACCTTCTGGCTTACTGCAGCATCAACCTCCTGGGCTCATGCAATCCTCTCACATCAGCCTCCAGGGTAGCTGGACTACAGGCACACACCACTGTGCCTGGCTAATTTATTTATCTATTTTTTTGAGACAAGGTCTTGCTATGTTGCCCAACCTGGTCTGAAACTCCTGGGCTCAAGCAATCCTCCTACTCTGGCCTCTCAAAGTGCTGGAATTAGAGGCACGAGCCACCATTCCTGGCTGTTTTCATTTTTCATTCATTAACTACTGGTTTATCTTTCGCGTGTTTTTTTTTTTTTTT